GGTTAGAATAGGGTTTTGGGGCCCATGATCTACTATATGTATAATAAGGAACCCCAACATAGTATAGGGTAATTCTTAAGGCACTCCGGCCGCAGCACTTCATCCCTGTGGTTACTGCAGGAGCAAGCTGGCGCAAGACAGCTCGAGCTCTTCGGCTCCGGAGGAGAATGCACAAGGCGTACTCTAGCACAGCATAGTTAGACCATGACGGGGGCAGGGTTGATGTCTACGCAATTGTTCAAACCTCTTCATATTTCCTTCCAGAATGCAACCCATGGTAAAACCAAATTGCCCTCAACAAATAAAATCTGGGATTGGAATTCATCGACTCTGTCGAAGCAGACCTCCAGACGGGAGCCTTCGTTTTGGAATTGCACCCAAAACGGTTGCGACAATACGAAACCCTTCCAAGCGGCGCAACACCAGAGATCTAGTAGCCTCAACAAAGGGCAGCCATGTAACTGCCGTCATGATGTTGTTGATGAGCTTGCCCATGCCTGGCTCCAACACGCTTTTCAGTACTTGCATCTCTCCCGCGCCTCTTTCTTTGAGGGCACGGTCTAGGGTTTAGGGTCTGTTCTGGGTACTTTTGTATTGGCTGCTCGTACAAATGCTGCTCTTAGTTCTTACTGCCTGTGCTCTCTTTGCGGATTTAAATATCGAAGACTCATGTTTCCATCCTTCTGATGATCATGGCCACCATCATTGTCCATAGTCTGGATATAGCTAGGCGGGGGTGTCCGGGTTGAAAGATCGGTGTTAAATCGTTGGGGCTTAGGCGTTTAACCGTTAAGCAGGCTTCGTCGAACAACGTGTAAGGGTTTAAGGTTCAGTGATGTAGCATTATGGGGCCAGCTCCCATGCCGCAGTCATCACGTCGTCAAGACCTGCAAAGTCCAATCTCCAAGCTACGTAATGAGCTATGAAGCGACTGCAGGACATGAATTCACTCACTGTAGATTCCAGGTCTGCTTACACCAATTTCCCTTGGTCGTAACACCAAAGTCACATAATTACAGGCCTGTATGAAAATTCGAAGAAGGCTTCGGGGTGGCCGATATTGTCTCATGATACGGAAACCAATAGAGATACTATTGGCACTTCTTTTCTGACCTCGGCACTGCCCAAACTACTCAGGAGTGTGGGAGCTTCAGAAATTGGGGAACCTCGTCCTTAGATGGTATAGGAGCAGAGGGCATAGGACCCATATTCCAGGGACACTCCCGCCCCGAACTCCATTGGCTCATTGGCCCGGCTTGGGGGTTTGGGCTGTTGTTCTAACAACCAACGACGAGGAACAGTTCCCACCACCCTGCCTGTGCGCTTGGCGACAGCGCTGGCATCGATGGCGCTGACCTGTGATGAAATGAAACATCCCGGGTGAAGCGTTTATAGGTAAGGGTCGACTGGTACGCTTACTATACGATTACCGTTTGCACGTGCTGCTGTCGAAAGCTTTAGTAGGTAGGGGCCGGGACAAGTACCAAAAGGTTCGCGAACAAAGCAGGGTTTGCGGGTTGCCTCGAAACCTTACGAAGCAATGCAGCACGCCCCGGCACCCACACAACCCAAAAACTTCGCGGCTGCAAAACAAAAACTGCAAGAGCTTTAAGCACCAACACGATATGTGTTCAAAAAACTCAACAAGCCCGCAAGGCAATGTCAGGAGGCCCAGAGCCAAACCCTGGACCCGAAACTTTAAGGCACCCTGCAGGGCCCTCCACATAAACCCCCAAACCCTGATGCTCAAGGTAATATGGGGGGGAGTTAGTGATTGGAACAAGATCTTGGGTAAAATGCAATAAGCTAAAACAGTACGGCACCTTTGTTAAAACAGGGAGGGAAAGCCAGCATTCAATCCATCTACTCCCTTTAAAGCCAAGAGGGGGCCTACCGGGTTTCGCCCCCCCCCCAAGAAGGACCCTAAAACCTGGGGCATCAAAACAGCCCAAAAGCCTTACATAGTATGGTCTTTGGGCCCAAAAGCCTTAATATATGAGTCCTTAGATGCCTAAACCCATCCTAAACCCTAAACCCTAAAGCCCTACACCACACCCTGAAACAACAAAACACTATAAACCCTAAACCCTTAAACGCTATGCCTAGGGTAAACGGACCCGAACTTCGAGAACTACCCATTAGCCACCACGGGCTGTCCGAGCGCTTGGCCTTCAGCTTCTTCTCCCCGACGATCTTCCGGAAGGGGGCCGGGAGAACGGACTCCAGCTCCTTGAGTAGGAGATCGAGTATCGTAGGGCTTAGGGCTTAGGGGTTAGGGTGGGACTTCCAACATACGCCTATCATGATGCTTGTAGCACTGCAACATCTCTACCAAATGCCTGGAGGTTTCAGGGTGATGCATGTCAACATGGGGTTGAAGCCTTCAACTCAATCAGTCTGTTCCCAAACGATTGATGGAACTTACTGGAACCTAGGTCCCAGCAAATCATTCTCACCACTGTTGAATCAGTCTCAACAAATGTTACTAGATTTGGGGGATGTCTGCGCATACCGAATCCAATTCCTAGAGACCCGAACCGAACCTCTTTAGACATGCAAACAATTGACCGCAAACCCTTTGCCTGGACCCCCAACCTGACCTCAAAACGCTAGGGGCTGGGCTGCATCGGACCACGGGCAGTTCAGCACCAGGGTGCCTCTCTCAAGCTTTGTGTTTAGGGTTGCGGCGGAGATTCAGGCTTTATTGGGATTTACAGGATTCAAGGGTGCAGAGTGCAAAGTCTAGGAAAACATATGCACAATGTGCGGGGATGCCTATCCCTGTTGATGTCCTGCACCATGGACTACACCCAAGCCTGGCGCCACTACTCGAATACACTTTGCTGCAAGCTCGGGGTACGACTGCTGTTCCTACTACTACTACTACTACTACTACTACTACTACTACTACTACTACTACTACGACTGCTGCTGCTGCTACAACTACTACTCCTGCTGCCCACAGACCTTGGCTATAAGAAGGCTGGTAAGCTTCCAGAATGCATCCACAGGCACATCCTGCATGCAATAAGGCCGTTCTCTCATTATTGAGGCTTAGATGCAAAGCCCTGAACCCAGCAAGTGTAGAAACCTAAACCATAAACCCTAAACTCCTAAACCGAAACCCAAAACATAAACTGATTATAATTCAGGGTTTAGGGTGCAGCTGGGGATTTAACGTTTGGGTTACCCATGGTCTCCATTGTGGTTGCTTTCTTTGGTTTAAACACCATTATATTAAGGATCCTAAATGGTAGCCCCAAAACAGGGACTACAACTGAGACCGCAGGTAGGGTTAAGGTCGCGTCTTGGGTTCCCAAAACACCCTCGACGCCGAGAAGGTAAACCTGTCACCCCCACCCCCCCCCCCCAAGACGATTCGACGTCATGAACGTTGATACTACTTGTATTGTATTGTTCTTAGTAAGTGTTCTTTTGGTTGAAGGGCACCCCAAAACTTGACCATAAGCCCTTTCTGTCCACACAGGCTTTTGCGCTACGTTGAGTCTTACAGGGTGAACATCTATGACAAGCGTGGTGTAGCGATGCATGAGCTCCAAAACCCCCCAAAAAACCCAAGGTCAAGGGGTTTAAAGGCTTCAGGGTTTAGGGTGATTTGCATGGGGCTTTCGGGCATATTGGATGGGGACTGAAAATTTCAAGAAAGTATAGGAACTTTAATACGAATTGTTCAGGGCGGGCCCATACATTCGCCCTAAAAGCCATGTGCTCGTTTTCTTCCTTTGCATCGTCAATGCGACTGGAGGAAGCCGAGGAGCTTGCATCGCTCATCGGCTGGAAAAATGACAGCAACCCAAAACCCCAAAACCCGGTTTAGGAACCCTAAACCCTAACCCTAATTTTCAGCGGCTCTCGAACACCCCAGACAGCAACAAGAAAGCTGAAGCCGCAAATTCCCGAGTACGTGACTTGGCGACAAAAACCTTGATAAGCCTAAACCTTAAACCCTACGCCTCCAGGGACCATATTATGGGATCCTTAAGGGGTCTAGGACCCTAACTATGAGGTCCTTGGAGGGACAGGGTAAACCTTAAACTCTTGACCCAAAGCAAAAAGCAACTTTTTAGGATTCGGGGTTTTGGGTTTAAGTACGTAATTCCTGATCTAGAAACCGTACTATATACCACGAGTATGTAAGTACTCAGCATCCTTCGGGAAGCAACCAACAACATCCGATTCATAATTACGTCCCTTGAGAGAGACCAATGTGGGAGCCAGCACCCGCATGGCTCAATTCCAGCCGTGGTAGCTTTTTCGGGCTGCGGCATTAAGATCCGCCGCGGCCACAGCAACGGCCATCCTGACAGTCAGCGCCGGAACACTGCATTCCTGAAGCTGAGACTGCAGGGTTTTCCCGAAACACTTTAACCTTCTCACATATGGCAAGGTTATATATATATATATGTATATATATATATATATATATATATATTGGCCCTGGAAGGTTTAAGGTTACCTACTCAGCTACTAAAGCAGCGAAGGCACGTCTCGCGGAAGGCCCCGGCTAGCGAAGCTCGCTTGCCATCTACTTCAAGTTTTTCGAGAAAGACGGTCTCCCAAACCCAACCGAGCGCTGAATCCGTTTGAAGGGGAGGTGGCTCTCCATGCCAAGCATGTGCCGATCGGACGCCTTCCAGCATCTCCTCGACTAGAGGCTCTGCCGAAGGCTTTCGCAGGGAAGTCCTTCCTATAGTAGAAGCCAGAAAGTTGGAACATCAGACTCCTAATGCCCTTAAGGTAAAGTATAAGGGATCCTAGCACTAATCCTCCTTAAGCCATGTTCCAACTTTCTGGCTTCTACTGTATAGGCATAGTGATCACAAAGATGTGTAGAGCTGGCGAGAGGACATCTCGCACGAGATCTGGAGATCCCGGGTTTCAGTTCCTGCACATCGTGGCCGGCGTGGGTCATGAACATCCGTGAGATCGATGCCCAACTTCTTCCAGGGGGCATCGCCGGAGCCCCAAAATGGGGAAACCTACAGCTTCAAGTAAGATGACTCCATGCTGAAGATCGGATGGAAAGCATCCTGCAGGCAAGACAGGATATCTTGCACTTTGGCTTCCAAGTCAGGCATGTCGGTTGGAGGATTCACCAGCAACACCTGAGCACCAAGTATTGGTTTATGGCTTGAGGCTAAGGGTTTAGTTGATTTGTTGGTACGGGTTGAGGGTCGTTATAAGGGTTTGCAGTAGTCTGGTGGTTTAGGCTCCATAGGAAGCACAAACTGCCATCGTAGGCCCTATACACTAAGCTCTCGGGCGCATGCCCTTACGCCTGGACCCTGAACAGAAACAAGCCCTAAAGGCCCTTAAGAGCCTCATACTCTAACCCTCAGTCGGCTTCGAACTCGAGGCAAAGCCCGCTTTGTGTCGCAGATACTGTTGATGATATAAATCCTGCATTACCCATAATAAGGAATATACCATCATTCCCATGGTTTAGGGTCCTTAAGGTAATGCAGGATTTATATCATCCACCGTAGTTCGAGGTAGAAACCCAACTGACTAGAAAGTAGGCTACCCTCCTTGGGCCCTATGCCTATATATATATATATATATACATAGGTGCAAAATACATGCAGGGATAGGCAGACAGACGAATAGCTAGGCAGGTGATAGACAGACAGACAGATACACACATCGACAGAAGGCCATATAGATATAGATATAGATGTAGATGTGGATGTAGATGTCGATGTAGTGTAGTATTGTATGGTATGGTATGGTATGGTATGGTGGTATGGTATATAGTATACTGAACCATCAGGCAGGTACTATAGGGGCATGAATAATTAGTAGAATAGGGGTTCTGAAGCCCATTGTACCATAATTGTAATCAAGAACCCCCCAAAAGAGCATTGGTATTAATTTCGACTCCTATAGTTCCTGGTGGGATCCTAGGTCCGAGGCCCCGCTATAAGCGAAGCTTCGCACTATGAGCCCCAACCCCAGCCCAAAACCCTATAACCTTAAACCCTAAATCCTTAACTAAGCCCTAAATTCAAAACTCTATATAAACCCTAAATCCTGAACTCAAAACTCTAAACCCGAAATCCTAAACTCAACCCGCAACAGAACCTCAAACTCCAGACGCGAGCCTCAAGGATGCCTCAAAAAACGAACTCCAGCTGAAGAGCAGAACACTTAGGGGTTTAGGCCTTAGGGTCTATGGTTTTTCCGGGTTTAGAGTTTACGGGTTTGGGGTTTAGGGTTTAGGTTCAAGGTTTAGGGTTTTGAAGCTGTTTCATAGGGCTGTAGTAAGCCTTATTAAGTCCTTATTATATTCCGGCCCCCTACACCGCTCCCCCCTACCCCTCTAAGGGTCCTTATCAACGTTGTTCTTGCTTAAACGACTGAACCTCGTAGAACCCTAATTAGTGGAAAAATGCTCAGTAACATTGTGAAATTCCTGTAAACTATACTGTACTGTACATTTGAACCATGGAAGAAAGCTAAAGTAGTTACATTTTGAGTTTACCTCCTGGTGCCAAGGTACGCCTGAGCTCACCAGTGCACCCCTCTTCTTCCCGATGTCCGTCTCACAAAGCTCGGCGAAGACAGCGTTCTGCCTAAGCCATCAGGCGAGGTCTCGGGCCCACGTCCAAAAGTCTGGATTTCAGAGCCATGATGTTTTCAACCGTAAGAACACATCAAGCCTGAACTCTAAACCCTACCGACAGTTTAAGGGTTTCGGGGCGAGGGGCGTAGAGTTATGGGGTTAAAGCTTGGGGCTTGTATGGCTTATGGCCTTCGGTTTAAAGTAGAAGCCAGAAAGTTGGAATATCATTATCCTAACCCCTTTATGGTAAATTATAGAGTATCCTACCCTGAAACCATATTCCAACTTTCTGGAGTTCCCTTTAAGGCTTGAGAGCAAGGTACAAACCCAGGTCTCGGACGCGAAGACGTAGGCTTTGCCTCTCCGCCTCTCCCGGGCACGGATACCACATCAGAATGCAGGTCTCCGGACACCTCAGGGGTAGAGTTAAGCTTAGGGGATTTAGGGTTTGTGTAGGAGGTAGAACATCTTGAAGGGTTCATACAATAGGGACCCTAATAATTGGAAAAGGCTGTGTAAGGGCTGGAAGGGGGTCTGAACTAGCTACTAACCGCTGCATTGCTTGCTTTGGATTGCTACTGCCACAGCATGGTGCACATTTGGGATGCAAGCCTTCTTGAAGTGTGTTTTTTTGGTGTGTGTGTGTGTGTATATATATATATATATATATGTCCCAAGCCCCGAATCCCCGAACCCAAAACCCAGAAACCCCGAAGGGGTTCAGAGTTACAGGTATCTGCAGGACTGGGACTGCTCGATGCTCTTGTTTTGTTGAGGTCTACGTACGGGTTTAGGTTCAGGACTTAGGACATTTTGTTGGACTCCTTTTCCTGAGGCTGCCAGCTGCGACTTCTAGAAGGGCTTAGGATTTAAGGTTTAGGGTCTACGCTGGCATAGTCGCAGTCAAAAGGGCAGGGATACTTGCACGAGCCAAACCAAGATGGCAACTTGAAACGTCGCAGACCAAAAGATTGCCGAACAAAATGAATGAATACCCTAAACCCAGGTATCTGGCCATTAGGTAGCTTGACCGCCCTTGCATAGTTGCTGCAGGGGCACTATATATGTGTATGTGCACACATATATATTTCTATATATAAATATATACATACACATACTGATTGGATCCACGAACCCTCACACCCTAAACCTCAAACCCGCATGGTACCTTTTTAGAAGCCTCTGCGGCAGAATCGTATCACTAACTTTGCCAAAGGGTCCTAAGTACCTACATGGTAGAAAGTAGGGTGTCTGTAGTAGGAACTACTATTCTGCTTTGGGTACACCATTATGCTGTGAGTGCGTATCCCCATATAGTAAACCCTAAACCCTTGGGTTTCCAAGCTTCTGCTCAGGCAAGCCACCGGCTTCGCAGACTGTGGATCGTCCACCTCGGCCATAACACCAAACCCTAAAGCCAAAGCCCCAAACCCAAAGCCCCAAATCCTCTAAAGCAGGGGTTTAGGGTTTGGAGATATAGGGCTTTCGAAGTATTTAATGTTTATGAGGGTTGAAGAACATGAAGGTAAACAAGCCTAAGAGCCCTAAACCATCAGCAGTACATGCTAAACCCGAAACGCGAAACCCTGAATGCCAAACCATCAGCGGCCATCGGCTCAAGGAGTGATCTCGCCACTGTCACGTCCAAAAGCCCAACAATCAAGGGGGTCTGTACGGGTTCTAGGAGGATATCTAGGGTTGGATGGGCTTTTCTCGGGCCCGAAGGCCAATAGGGCAATAGGGTTCACAGCTGGTAAATATGGCAAAGGAGGGTACAAGCTCAAAAGGTTAAAAAATATTCAGCTAACAAGTCAACTACTGTGACCTTCATGGAAGCCCTTCAAAGAGGCACAGTGACGTACCTTTGTAGCTGTATGTATCGGAGGGGACATAAGACACGCTTGCAGGATCTCTGCATAATACAGGCTGGTGTCAGTGGTTGCTCATCTGTGAGAGAACAGCATGCGGCGCCACTTCAGGGCTTACCGTCTGAGGTGCACCACGAAGACGATATGAGTTTCGCTATGGAACCGGCCACGCAGCTTGGGATGTGGGCCTGGAGTCTTGGGCGCAGAGTGAGGAACAACCCTGTCAACAGGTGTTAGAGGTTGTGTAGGGATCACCGAGGCATGCAATTCGGGGTAACTTTACACCCCAAGGACTGAATCGCATGCAAGCAAAAACAACTGCTGCTACTACTGCGACTAGTTCAGCGACGACGACCGCTACGTGACCACAACCATGAGCACGAATGGGACCGCCGCCACGATGGAAACCTTCTTATGCTCCCTAAGCACTCACAGATGTAGCTGGGGCCGTGGCAAGTTCCAGGACAAGTACTGGCTGTAGGGCTCGTAGGGCGGATCCAACAATACCAAGCCTTTCCCTTCCATGGACAAGTCCGACAAGTAGAGGTACCTGGAAGCACTTTTGCGCTTTTCGGATGTGTGGCATACTGGTCCTGGACCTTAAAGATGTCATCAACAAATCAGCAGCTCAGTAGATGAGTCTGATGCATAAACAGGAGTGTTTCTGACTGGCATGGAGCATGGACTGTGTTCATGTACATATATATATATGTATGTATGTATGCACATACACATATTATATCATGCTTATACTTATGTGTACACAACATTATATATATATATACACACACACAAATTGTGGGTGCTCTGCTACTAGACTAGAGTATTTAAGTCCTATGCCTGGCAATGTCCTTCTCCAGCTTATATCCGTCAGACACGCACACAGGAGTTCGCGAACTGGTTGATGCAGGACGATGGACTTGGGAACCTTTGTGACATGTGTGCGGCCTTCAGCTACTCGCAAAGCCTTAACCCCAAACTTCCCCCGATGGATCAAACTCCCTGCCACAGCAATTGCCGAAGAGCCGAGAAACCCTGAAATTTAAACATACCCTATCCCTCCAAGGACCTCATAGTTAGGGCCCTAGACCCTTTAAGGACCCCATAACAAGGCCCGTGGAGGCATAGGATAGGGCTTACGGTTTGGGGTTTAAGCAGTCGAAGCGCGAATTCTCCCGAGAGATGTGAAATCTCCTCGATCTGACGTCTGCAGGTATGAGTCGGCCGAAAGCCGCTTCAAGAGCAGGCTGGTGCTCCTGCTTTCTCAGCTTTGAGTTTGGATACTGCCCCCCCATACAGTAACAGTCCATAGTAGGGCTACTATTAAGGGCCTAATATATCTATATTATGAATATTACTCAACTGTTACTGAGTGGGGGCAGTATCCAACTTTGAGTCTGTTAGGGTCGTGGGCCTGTGAAACAATCGAACCCGAGACCATAAAACTGGCTGGTGTCAAGCTTGCGGTAATGATGATGTTGATGATGATGTTGATGATGGTAATGACTGATGTTGATGATGAGGAACAGAATTATGATGAACAAGATAATCTCTCTTCAAGGCCGAAAAGCTCAATGATGATTCAGTGTTTGAGAGAGAGAAAGAGAGAGAGAGAGAGAGATCGATCAGCTGACGTTCCCCAAATGCCTGGCATGTGCCATGCAAACCGTATCTAATATTTCATCTGGCAGTCCGATTCCCCCTGAACTCCAATCCAACGCAGTTCAATTTTGCCCCAAGCCCACAAACATTGCAAAGCCCCAAAACATAAGCCCTAAACCCAAAGACATAAACCCTAGACCCAATGCGCTAAACCCTAAGACTCTACCCCTAAACCCTAAACCCCTAAACCCTGAACCCCTGAACCCTGAACCCTAAACCCTAAACCCCTAAACCCTAAACCCCTAACCCCTAAACCCCTAAACCCTAAACCCCTAAACCCCAAGACCCTGAGACCTAACCCTATCTTGCAGTCTCCTGGGAGGCTTCGAGGGCCGTCATTCTGTCTTGCTGACGGATCCTCAGCTTCTCTTTGACAACGGGTAGGGTCTAGGGTTTGGGGTTTAGTTTAGGGTTTAGGGTTTGGGGTTTAGGGTTTAGTTTAGGGTTTAGGGTTTAGGGTTTGGGGTTCAGGGTAGGGTTCAGGGTAGGGTTTAGGGTTTGGGGTCTAGAGTTTAGGGGTTGGGGTTTAGGGCTTTAGGGTTTAGGGTTCAGGGTTTAGGTTAGCATGATGTGCAAATCACTGATGCGACACTGGTGGCATCACAACGTGTTGGAACTCCTATCAAGACTTAAACGTATGGCTGCGTGCGGGAGGGGTCAGGAAGGAAGTAGAAGAGCCAAGTGTCCAGCCCGTGGCCAGCGAGGGCGACCCCAAATACCACCTGAATCTTTTGGTTTGAGTGGTTCGTGTCGGGATTACAGGGAACTCCAGAAACTTGGAATATGGATTAATGGTAGGATCCCCTATAATTTACCTTAAAGGGTTTAGGATAATCATATTCCAACTTTCTGGCTTTTACCGTAAGTGTTCGACGGGCCTAGACCCAAAGTCCACAAATCCAGCCCAGACCATGCCTCAAACCCCCGATCCCCCCATCCCCCCCGCTCCGCCCCAATCCGCCCCAAGCCCCCATTTCAACTCAAGCCAGGTCTGCGGAATCAGGCTCAAAAACAGCACAAAAGCATGGACTCCTGCTCTTGCTTCAGGTCAGCTGCCAATCCAAACAGGCAACTGCGAGCCTTTGCTTTTAGCCAGCCCCAAACCCCTAGGATTGCCGTAGTTGTCGGAGGCCTGAATGACGAGAAAAGGGTTCCCGAGTACATTATATCAAAATTCAAGTTGATTATACATATATACATATATATATATATATATATATTATACATATATATATATATATAAGTATAAATATATATATATATATATAACATAAATACGGAATACTTCTATTATAATATTGCTAATTTTTCCGGGCCAAACTATTAGAAGCAAATCGGCCTTGCTAAGTGATGCGAGGCCCTATACTCACTACTCAACAAATCCGAAAGCTCTAGATGGTGTAGGAATAAATACTACGGTTGATGGACGAAACCCTGCATGACCCTAAGGACTCTAAACTATGGGAATTATGGTTAATGCAGGATTTTGTCCATCAGCCGTAGGGGCGCCAGCGCCCTATCTCCGAACTGCGTGACAGGCCTGGTGTCGTTCGGGCCATTAAATCGCCGATTCGCCTGCGAAAGAATTTAGGGTTTACCTTAACCCTGAATAACCTACCTTTTTTAAGGGTTCCCTATTATGATTTCCTGGTATCAGTCCTTAAACAACAGCAGGTTCTTCAGGGTTAAGGTAGGGCTTAGTTAGTACTTAGAGGATCAAGGGACTTAGTAAGTAGGTTATAATTGGGGTTATAAGTCCCCTAAGTGGGGTTATCCTAATTATAACTTACTTATAACCTTACTTACTAAGTCCCATGATCCTCCAAGTAGGAGTCAGGCCAGAGGTTCGGGTCACGGGTTGCGGGCCTCATGGAGCTTCATCAGAGATGCTTCGCGGGCCTTGGGCATGCATCTGCAAGGTTTGTTCTTTAGAGCTTCTTAATAGTTCTGATTTCAATATCTATTAGGGCTTGGGGCTTAGGGATTTAGAGCTTAGGGGTTTAGGGTTTAGGACCGTTTTTCCAGTCAATCCCTCGGCACAAAGGCCGCGGTGTCTTACAAGTTGAGCCAAAAAAAACACTCGAAGACTCGCTCTTAATACAAGTTCAGGGTTCAGGGTCTAGCCCACGAGGCACCGGCCCAAATGAAAAGTCTCCCTTTGCACCCAGCTCCTGTAACCAAATCCACGCGAAAGCACCCCCCCCCCAACCCTCAGCCCGCTCTCCCCAATAAAATTCCTCCAGCAGTGACGCCACAGCCCTGGGAGTCTCGCATTGGCGCCGGTGATGATGCCTGCGGCCCCGCAGGGGCTTAGGGTTTACAAGCTTTATAGGCCTCACGGTTCGAGGCTTCCTGATAACCTACCAAAACCTACTTGTTCCATAGAAACTCCATATTCTGCATGGTCAAGGTTTCCTCAAGAGGAGTCAGCACGATCTAGAGGTTGAGCCTTCTGCGAGCCGGATATCTGCGCTGCTCGTTTTTTTTCTTGTGTCGCGTCTGCTGTGTGAAGCTCTAAGGGGTTGCTGGAGGGTCTATGGGAACCGCGCCGTAATAAAAAAGCTTCGGAGCGACTTTGGCCGAATGACTCAGGGATAGGCTACAAATCGGGCGCCTAAGACACTAGGTTAGGACTTCGGTGGTAGGGCCTCAGGGTTGCCAGGGGGCTGAGAGGACTTAACCAGATGTTACAAAGACTCTGCCATTTTTCACATAAACTAGCTGCGACATCCCCAACCCTGCAAATCAAGTTTAAAGCCTTATAAGCCCTCGGCAATCCCAAACCCCGTAACCTTCACATCTCAAAACCTGAACCATAGTCTGTCAACTCGCGCAGACCACTCCCGAGGCCAGATACCCTAGCCTCCCCTGAACCCAAAGTGTCCACGTCTACTACCATTATGGACTTAGGTCCCAAAAAACCACTCCCATTATGGTTGTTGACCTCATTCCATAATAGTAGTGTATATGGACGCTCTCGGAACTAACATGGGAGTTTCTGGTGTTGTACCCCTAAACAGTAGGATCCTGACTTTTTGGACCCCCAAAATTCGGTACCCCTAATTTTCGGAAACTCTACACCCCAAACCCTTGGTAGAACCCTTGTAGATCCCTTCACGGAACCCTTAAAGGATCCCTTTAAAGGTAGGCCTAACTTTCGGGAACTTACATTGATCCCCGAATGATCCGTCTCCGAAAGGGCGGTAGTCCAAAATCGCATTTCCCCAAAGTTGACTATATCATAGGGACCCTTAGGCGGGTAAGTGGGAGGGGAGTAGGGAACTATACTTCCTTAAATAGGCCTTAAGGCCCCCCGCTCCCCCTATCCCCCTAAGGGCTATGGCTATAGGTACCCAGAGGCTTAGTAGTTCCTTTTTGGGATTACCTTTATAGGCTTTTCGGATTCTAAATATGAACATCAAGAAGGAACTAGTATCTAGTATGGGGCCTCTGGGTAGTTCTTTGAGGAATACTTGGGTCGCTGATGGAAGTCCCTACGGCGTTACTCCTGTAAGCAGCAACCAACCCACCACGTCTCAGTTCAGGGGCAGGTGTTTTAACCCAGTTGCTGAGTTCAGCCCAATGCAGTCTTGAGTTCTTTGCATGTCGAACTTAACTAGCCCCAACTGGCCTAGCGAACATGGGAAGAAGAAGAAGAAGAGTTCAGCCCCAAAGGTCAACTTTCACATCGCGTTGAGTTGGGGATCTCCTGGGTCAGTCATCAGGGTTTATACCTATAGTCTCCATTGTAGTTCCTTTTTGGGGCTACCCTATAGGATCCCAAATACATAAGTGGTCAAACCAAAAAAAGGAACTACAATGGAGACTTAGGTAGGTTTTAATCAGGCTCGAACATAGCTTCGTAGAACTCGCCTAGGGGTATTAGATCTTCAGGCTCAGCCCTAATGTCTACAGTAGTACAAACAGGGAGTTCCAAGCTACTAGGGTTTAAGGTTGTGCTGTAGAAATGGCGCAAGCTGCGGACGACCTACGCGGCTACCAAAGCCCTGCCCCCCCCCCCCCCCGAAATGTAAGCCTTTCAAGTAGATGAAGTCCATAGTTTTGGAACTCCGTCAGGTTATCCCCAAGATCCTTGACATGTCGAGACGCAAAGCCGATGAGACCCTCGGCTCGTAGGCTGCTACGTATATGTGTGCAATATACATATATATATATATAATTATATATAATTATATATATATACACATACATACATACATACGTGTATACATATATATATATATATATATATATGTGTGTGTGTGTGTGTGTTACCCAGTAAGCCATAATTTGGGCAAATGGAGCCCTATGTAACCCAGAAATTAGGCCATAATTTAGGTAAGTGGAACCTTATGGAGAGCTATTGCCGAACTTGACCCCCACAACGCCATTAAATATCCTGCAAGTGTTACAAGGCAAGGCCGGGCATCGTAGATGCCCCGCCCCGCGTGACCATCGATGTATGTGAAAGGCTGGCTGTCTGCGGCGTAGTGCTGCAGCAGCCTCGGACGCAAAGACTCCGCTTTTTTCCCGAGAGGAGTCCCAGTTCAAGCCCTAAGGGTCCATGTACCCAAATAGTATATACATTGGCCTTTATGTAGTCCCCATAATAGGTACATTGGGCCCAAAGTATATACTATTCGGATACAGGGACCCTTTGGGATGGGAGTGAGGATTACGGGGACCCTTGGGGATATAGACCCTCTCAATAAGGCCTCTTTTAAGAGAGCCAGAAGTAGGGTTCAGAAGGGGTACCCTTTAAGGGGTCTCCCTAATCATACTACCTGAGGGAAGGTTTGGGTGTTTGGGGCCTTCGACTGTCGGGGTCGACCCCGTGGTGACTGACGAGCAGAAGTTTATCCTATGCCCTGGCTGCATGCTGGACCCTCTAAGCCTGGACGCTACCAGACAAGAAACAATAGAGAAACCACCGGAGAAGCAGATTTGGCATGAACAACGACAGAAGTTCATCCAACCTCCAAGACCAGCACTTCAAGGATTGGGAGCTGTGGCTGCTTGGGCTTGGGGTTTGGGGGGATTTAATGCAAAGGTCTGAATGATTAAGACTACTATTCCCTTCCAATTCCTCTGCAACTATTCCGTAATTTGCCCCCGAAACCCTGGCATACTATAGTTGAATTATAGTAGAAGTACAGTTCGCTAGAAGTATCATGTGGAAGCCCAAGGAACAACGTTGCGAAGCATTCAGGCTTCTAAGTACCCAGAAACCTTGCACTGCACGGCCACGGGGCAAGAGCAAAAGGCTGTGCTTCAAGCAGTCCATAATGCTCCCTGCCTTTCGAACCGTCAGATGGGAGTGATTTTGCATCAGCCAAACTTGACAGGCCCCTTCTTGTGGCAAGCTGCAGCATGCTTACTAGTACCAAGGTCAGCGGAACTCTGATGTAGAATGTAGAACAATCGCGAGCTATGCCCTGACAGGACTTTGAGTATCCACGGTGAGGATCTGGCAACTTGGTGCTTAGGATTCCGTGCTTCTGGGCTTGGTCTTGGTGTTCAGGTCTTACTTTGAGCGACCACCCTTTTGTAGGGCCACTATAACTATGCCATGTGGCAGTTTGAGGTAGGGCTCAGGGTCCTTCTAAAATAGGTAGGGTTCAGGGTCCTCAGTTTGCATTTCGATGAAAGTAGGTTAAGTTATACATGTTAGTTAAGGAAATTCTAGGGGCCTTATAACTAGAATAGGGTTTTGGGGCCCGTGGTACTGAACTATAATAAGGAACCGCCAAAATAAATATTGCCCCTACATTAGGGTGCTTCATGTTGCTCGGGGGTTGTTGCTAGGATACCCAGTAACCTAAGAATAAAAAGGCCTCTCTTTTTGGTATTGGGTAGCTTTATAAGGAACCTAGGACTACAAAAAGGGAATAAGGGTAATACTGGGCATCCTAGTCAAGGAAGCTCAGGCGTTTTAGCTGCAAGGGCCCTGGTCCTCCAGATCGTTTTCATGTGGCTGGTTGTCAAAATTGTGGTCCCTTTTGGGTCCTTATTATAATACGGCACCTAATATTTAGGGTACCCTGTTTGGGGGTCATAATTTTGACAACTACCCATGTAGGGGCCCTAATAAGCAAAGGGTCCTGGGGCTCCGGTATCGTAAAATACAGATGTAGTAAGGAACCCCGGGGAATAATGATAGTTAATTGTTTCGGTTTCTTTGGTTTGTCAAGGGACGGCTGGAGCCGTGGCACAACCCTCAATCACGAAGCGAGCATCGTTGGAGTTCACTCCGAATGGTCGACACAGACCCAAGCTACAGCTCTGCTGCAATTTAACCACAAGGCCCTAAACAATAAACCCCTGCCTATGGACTATGTTAAGTTATCCTGCCCCCCCTTCCCTCCCCCTCCCACCCCTCAATTCGGAACAACAACGCTCCCAAAATCCTGCTCTACACACCCGTGAACCTCAAAGCCCTGTCCCGAACAGGCTTACCTCAACTCCCGAACACTGGCGGGCTGAAAGGAAAACCGCACATCACCTGCCCCGTGCCTGCTCATGGTGGTTGTAAGTTTTGAGCGCCGGAGTCGGGGAATGGATCCTTGGAGTTAGATGGTGAGGCAAAACGGAAGATTCGAGAGAATCTTAACATGCGTATATCTTTCTATGATATGCATCACGGTGCATGTACCTGGACGTGTAGGTGTATGTGTATATGTGTACATGTATGTGCATGTACATACGTTTGTATATATGTATATAGCTTTATGTATGTACGTACAGAATTGAGCAGAAACGTGTTTAGGGCCGAGGCCAACAACCTGCATTACTAGACATCAGCGCTTCGGGTGTAGGCCTCATCCAAGCCCCAAGATCGCGGATCTTCGATTCTAGAGCGCTCACTTGCCAAAGACCGCGGATAAGATCACGGGAAATTGTAAGCGAGCCAACTTCAGTAACAGATGGCTACTTGTTGCATGGATTTCTTGAGGTACTTGTCAACCCAAATTTTGCACTTATCATAACCCAATGAATTCTCCAGACGGTGCAAGCCAGGACGCCCCAAAGCTTCCAAGGCTTCACTGAGCGAGAATGCTGCTGCCCACTGACCAGCCCCCAAGCAAACATCCATGGTGCCTGGGCATTCGAAGAGACTCCAGCAATTTAGGTTTTGGGGCTTAGGCGCTTTCGGTTTTGGGAGTATAAGCCTAAACCCTAAACCCTATAGGCTTTAGATCGTAGTATGATATAATGTCTTCAGGCACCAAGAGTCTCCAACAACCCTTCACACAAGGAGTCCTTTTTCGTAGGGTTATAGGGCTTCGGGGTAGAGGGTTTAAGGCTATTCAGAACCTCAAGAGCTGCAGCCATATTATGACCAGAAAAGGGTGTTGTAGGGTTCAAGGTTTGGGATCTCAAGGGTGTTATACACCTCAAGTACAAGGGACTCTAGCGGCACCTAGGACCTAGGGCTTAGGCGCCTTCATAAGTAGAATTGAGTTTGGGGTGTAGTATCAAACCGAAACCTGATGGCTCCAAGAGACTCCAGTAGCCTTGCAAACAAGGATTCCTGTGGCTCTTCTTCAGGATTCCGTTAATGTCAGATTGTGTTTTTGTGTGTGTGTGTGTGTGCTCTTTCCCGTCTGCTTGGGTTGTTCTTTTTCTGGGCTCTTTTCCGTCTGCTCGCACGTCGTATTTCACAGTTCCTTTTTTTGGGGGGGCTCTTTTCCCTTCTGCGTCCTATTTCAGAGGGTCTGGGGTTTAGGGTCCAAGGTGTCCGGCATAAGGTAACTTCTATAGGGGCCTTGAGAAGTAGAACAGGGTGTTGCAACGTTTGGGGTTTAGGATGAAGTGTTTTATAATAAGGTTCGAAAAACTCCTACACTCCTACACCTCTTGGAACAACGGTTCCTTTTTCAGAGACTCCATTATATTCTACAGAACCTAGACCCCGCAACTACCCTCTATTATGCCCTGAATAAGGGCCATAAGGGCTCTATGAAAGGGCCGTCGCGGGGTCGGGTCCTGGAATATCCCTTTCACTAAGGGGGTAGTGGCGCCAGATGGCTCCGGCCACAACTCTGGTAATGTAGGAACCTGATTAACAGACCTTGGGCCTCGGTTTTTTTTGAAAGGGTCTATAAGGGTTACCATAAGGGATCCATAAGGGTCCTATAAGAGGGTAGGAACCTGACTAAAAAACCCTGAGGCCCTTTATTAGGGTTCCTTATATGAATCTTACTATTTTGGGGTTGTGTGCCCATGGGTTTCTGAATCAGGTTCCTACAGTAGGTCTTGGGCCCTATGATTATGGCGTTTTGTTTGGAACATCAGCGTTCCATTCTTCTGTCAGTGCCCCGAGCTCAGGGTTCAGCACGTGGCCGAAGACAGAAGGATCCGGTGCCAGAGTGGCCGAGTAATGTAGGGTTTAGGGGTATATTACAGAATTTAACGATAGGGACTACAAGGGGGTATGATGACGAAGTATACGACCAGTAAAGTGCCGGAATGCTTTGCTGGTTTCGGTGGATTAGTGCTTGAAGCTTTGCGGTGCCGGCTCTGTCGGGGGGCTAGCTGGCGGAGGTTTGAACCTCACAGCGCAGGTTAAGTTGATCGGAAATGGATCCGAGCCTTACAGCGCGGGTTAAGTTGATCGGACATGGATCCGAGCACAAACGCTGCCGCCGGACCTTGTCGGCATCTGTGCGGTGGCAGAGTGCGTAGGGGGAGGCATGTGAGCCTGGCTCGTTGGTGGCCTTGTTGCCGGCGGCAGTAGGCGCCCGAGGAGGTCCTCCGTCATCGTTCTCAATTTGACCTCCTTGGTCTCCTCCGAGACTTCGCCGAGCATGCATGTGTTGTCCATTGCCAGGCCGATGTCCATTCTCTGCGGCCTCATCCAGGATGTACGAGAGTCCGTACTGTTCCTTGGCGTGCCACTGGATGTCGTCCAACGTACTTTGGAGGTTCTGTAAGTACGGTATGATCAATCTTTCTCCCGCTGGTGTCGTTGTTGGCCTGGTCCACCTTGCCATGGAGCTCGTCCAGGCGCCTATTGATGAAGGCGATCTCCGAGTCGAACTTGGTGTCGAAGTTTAGGGGGCTTAAAGGGTTTGAGGTAAAAGTGGCTTTCAAGGGGGCCTTACCCTAAGGGTCCATGTAGGCAACTAGTATTTGCTTCGGCCCCAATGTATCTATATCTATTTCAGCCAAAGTATACACTGTTTGGGTACCGTAAACCCCATATAAACCAAAAACCCATAGGGCTACAACCTGGCAAATCCCTCAAAACTCGAGCATGCCCTGGCGCATGTAGACCGAACCCACATTAAAAGGGGTGGAAGCATTTTGGCAATGGCATCCCCTTCTTGTATCGCCCTGCCGATATGGTGATAACCGACTATTATTCCAAGCAGCCGTTCAGGCCCGCACATTTCTAGAAACCCTAAACCCTAAACCGAAGTGCCTGCGGCTGAGACTGCAGCAGCAACAAAGGGTTTAGGAAAGGGCGGGGTTCATGGCATTCCATCAAGGATCAGCGCACCAAAGCGAAATCCTATAAAGCCCCTCAATCCTACAAGCCCACGCAGACTCCCTTTGAGATGCGAGATGCTGTAAATTGACACTGCATCGGCTGTCAGAGTCTTCTTGGGCATCGCCTGAAGCAAAGTTCGCCCGTTTCGCAGTCCTCTTTATGAACACACTTCTACTTCTACCGTAAGTACCCTTAACAGAGCTCTGCTCATAACCAATCTCGGCCTGGTCAGTTACGTAAGATGTTCGCAACTACGGCTGGAAAGTTCGGAAATACAGTCTCTTCTAGAGCACCTAAACCCTAACCCTATCCCTCCAAGGACATCATAGTTAGGGCCCTAGACCCCTTAAGGACCCCATAATAAGGTCCCTGGAGGCATAGGGTAAATCCTAAACCGAGATGGTAGCTTTCACCGTAACTCTGGTCTGGAACAAACCCGCTTCTGGTCGCTTGGGGTTCGGGCCGGGGGATCCTTGCCGGCGTATGCCGTATTGCTTCTGATAGTAGATGATCCAAGTATTTTGGGTTTAGGGGTATAGGGTTTAGGATGATCCATGCATGACCTTAAAGTATGCGCATGTTCTAGTCATGCTCTGAAGGCTCTTGCCCAGACCTTCCAACATCCCTTAATTAAGGAATATACCTTGAACCATCTTAGGGACCATACTCTAATTTAAGTTATATTCCATAATTAAGGGATTTTGGAAGGTCTGGGTTGCTTCAGATTGCAGCTCGGGACCCCGGCCACTTACACCCACAACCGAAACCGTTGAGACACTGGGGCCGCAGTCTGCAAGGAAAAAGCCCGGCACCCTGAACTACCTAAACAAGCTACAGCCTTAATTTCCTGAATAGCAAAAACACCTCAAGCCCCCTGTACCCTACACTCTACACCCTTCCTAGCGCAACAACAAAGAGCCTGGAGCAACGCCAGAGCTGGACCTTGGCTGACAAGGTTCCTTAAGGGGGTTCGGGGTATGTGAGCAGTGAATTAGCTCTCCTGTAACTAATTAGGTGGGCCCTCATACAGCGCTATACGACGCAAGGAGTATGATTTGAGCAATATTTCGACAATCCAAGCCGTTGAGTATTAACTACCCTCAACCCTAAAATCCAGTAATCAACTCACACACCAAGCCCATGTGAAATCCTAGGGCAAAGCGTACCAAAGGTCTGAAAAGCAGACCTTCTGCCCTGGGCGCTGGGGATAGGAATGCCCACAGCGGCAGTTCTGGCACCGAAGGCAACAGAACAAACACAGTAGCAGTCGCGGTAGTAGTGGTGGTAGTAGTTTCAGTCGTCGTCGCAGGAACAGCGGAGCAGCTGTATAGAATACCACAGGATTTGGGACAGAAGGCATCCGACTGATGTAGCTAACGAAGCGGCCAGCAAAGGTCTAGCAACGCCTCTCGAAGTCAGGAAAGCATACCACTACTTCTGCCCGTGCAAGCAATCTCAGAGTTCAGTACCTCAGCCATTGTCCTATCGAAATTTCAGCTTATTCACAAACCCGGTGGCAAGCACCTAAACTCTTCAACGACGCCATAGGCCCGGAGGTGTAGCTGTGCAGCACCCTGGAAGGCAATACCAAGCAGGCCTGAATCATTAAACTCACCAGAAAAAGGAATAAATGCAAGCGCAACCGATGGGCGGGATAGTGAACAACTGAGCAACAAAAGTCAGCAACAGCCGCTGCATCGAAGCAGGTCCAAGAAAGACTACATTAAACCCCAAGCCCATCGGAAATCCGACACACTTCGTGAGCCTTCAGGTTACCCCGTCGGCGCCACGGAGTCTGGGACAAGTGGCGCCAACTGCTGGAGGGCTGTAGAGCCTTCAAAGCCACATTGATCATGATGAGGTTCACCTGAAGCCCCAGAAGAAAGACAAGGGTTCTGTGAGATTTATCTGCGAGGGCTCTATGTCCTGGAGTCATTATGGAAGACTTCGGTAGAGGTTCACCTGAAGCCAGGAAATATAAGGATAAGGCTTTTGCATGGCAGGGACTGAGGTCCGCTCAAATAACTCCCCAAGTCCGGAATGACCTGGATCCTTTTAGGGTTCCTCGGCTCCGTTAAGCTAGGATGCCCAGTAACCTAGGAAAAAAAGGGCTCCCTTTTTGGTATTGGGTAACTTCGCAAGGAACCTAGGATTACAAAAAGGCAATAGGGGTACTACTGGGCATCCCAGTAAGGGATCCTTTAAGGGTAGAACAGGAGCCTCACCACGTCGAACAACTAGACCCTCAAATGCCAGCACGCCCAACCCCAAGCTCCAAAACCCTCCAGCTTCAAAATCCTTACCTTGGGGGTAGTAGGGAATGGAGGAATGGGGTACAGTTATAACTATACTATTACTACCATTCCTCCATTCCCTACTAACCAAACAAAGGTAAGAATCTTCAACTTTCAAACCGCAACAGTCCTAAAACCCCTAAAACCCACAAAGCCCAAAGCCCAACCGTGTAAACAGCCTAAGCTCCGAAATTCGCTTTGCCCCAGACCCAAATCTGAATGCCCCGAAGCCCTACAGTAGAAGCCCACGTTGGAAACCCAATGGCCTCAATCCTTAAGAGTAATGTATAGGGAATTCCTGCACTATTTGGCCTTGATCCGTTTTCCAACTTTGTACAAGCCCTAAGCACCTGTAACCCCAATAAGACACCACCGAGCACCCTGCACTCAACCTAGGCTTAAACCCTGAACCCATGTCTAAACCCCCAAACCCAAGCTTAGGCCCTAAACCCTAAACAATAAGTCTAAATCCTAAACCCTAACCCTAAACCTTGAACCCTGAACCCTCTAGAGCCCCGGCCTTCACGCCGTGCATGGATAGCGAAGTCAGGGAGCGAAGGGTCTCAGACCAGGGGCGAGCTTTCGCCGGGTCCTTTGAAAGGGGCGGGAGGGGTTTTAGGGTGATTTTGTTCTTTTCACGGGCCTCTTTCTATTCCGCAGATGGGTTTTAGGGTTTAGGGTTTGCGGTTTAGGGTGGGTTCAAGGTTTAGGGCTTGGGGTTTAGGGTGGGTTGCTCAGGCTTCTAGGTTGATATCAGATAGGTAGAATAGGCGCCTGGATATGCCTGAATAAGCGTCTTGAATTGTAGGGCTTCCATGGGGCATGGTTTTGATTGGATATAGTATAACTATTCATAGCCCTCCACACACACACACACAGCCACTAGGGTTTGCATTTGCTGGGTGTTTGCTGCTTGTTTGGTACATGCTTGACCAAAACGAGGATCATCCGATGATTGGGCCGAGACGGAGGCCATGGCCAAGCGGTCGGAGGAGGCAGCACCCGCCTCCAAAAGTGCGAAGAGCAACCCAGAGAGCCCAATACCCCTTAATTAAGGAAAAGGGCTTAAATTATATAGGGCTTCATATTATGATTTAAGCTAAATTCCGCATTTAATGGGTATTGGGCTCTCTGGGAAGTTGTTCTTACCCACTGGCTCTATGGTAGTTCCATTTTGGGATTACCTTAGTATATGAATCCCCCCCAAGAGGAACTACCATGGGGCCTATGGGTAGGGCTTAGGGATTAGTGTTTGGTGTTTCACGACGAGCCCCGTAGAGACTGAAGGAATTCGGAAGTTATTCCGCGGCAACGAGGCTCGCATCAAGGATCCGGCCGGTACCATCACAAGTACTCATCACAAGTACTCCTACTTACCCCAAACCGTGCCCAAACAAGGTTAACCGGTTAACCTTCTGAAACATAGTAGGATTGTATAAGCCAAAAGGTCGAAGACCGCTGTATGGGTAAGAGCCATTGACCAAAGAAAAGAGGTGGGAACTAGCCTCTGCGAGCTTCAGGCACCACCTCCACGCCGAATCCTGGGCTGTTAAGTAACCAGGGAGAAAAAGAGTAGAAACCTTTATTTCAAAACAATGGTTCCTTTAAGAAAATAATTGCATAATAGTTCCCTTAAGAAAGTTCTTTCATAATGATGCTTCCTTCAAGAAAAACACTAAAGCATGGTACTCCAAACCCCAAGGGTCCAATTGTCATTATGGTCCATACTTAAGGGTTTATTTGGGGGTCTAAGTATATACCATAATGATACTTGGACCCTTTGGGAAAGCCCAGAATCAGAGTTGCAAGCGAGAGCGCCGGCGCCCAACGCCACCGCATTCGGCTCGAAGCTGTCGGCCTTCCCCTGGAAAGCGATCTAATGAGGATGATGACTACACACTAACTATTTCTGAATCCTACAAGGGTTTAAGGTTCATATACCATATAGGGATTCATACTATAGGGGTATAGGGACCCTACTTTTAAGGGTCCTTTGGTCCTTCAGGTATATAGGCTCTACTTGGAGGTTCATGGGTAGTTTTAAGTAGGGTTATAAGTAGAGTAACTATACTTATAAGCCATAATAAGGGACTTATAGCCCCACTTATAACTACCCATGAACCTCCAAGTAACTATTTCTATTATTATTCCTATTGCTTTTGTTCTTTTTTACTACTATTACTGGTACTATTGCTATCACTTCTACTATTTATTCCTATTACCAATATTTCTCCTTTTTCTATCGTTATCAATATGAACTAAACCTCCTTGATGTAAGCCCCGTATGGATTAACTCCCTCGACCACCTCATCCTCATATCAAGGCCGGGCCTACATGATCTACGCGCGGAGCTATTGGAGGCACAAAGTTCAAGGTTCTGTGTTTAGGGTTTAGGGTTTAGGGGTTTAGAGTTTACGGGTTTAGGGTTTTCAGGAAGGTTTGGATTGAAAGATGAAGATCAAGCTGGCCAAGCTGCTGTTTGCAAGGCCATCAAGCACTTGGACCAAGCCAGGGTCGTTACCGTCGTGCCGTAGGTAATGATGTCGACTCGGAGCCCTCATTTTTACTTCATAGGGACCCTTCTAAGTAGGCCTTATTCCTTATTAAGTCTTTTTTATAGGTATTAAGGCCCTTTACCACCGTGCCCCCTACACCCCTACACCCCTAAGGGTCCCGATGACTACGCTTATCATTCTGACTAGTGCTATAATCATTGCTATGAGTCTTATCGCGCTATAGAATTTTTGAACTTATGGGATGTTTGAAATCCTGAGGCTCGGGGCTTAACATGTCGGCCTAGGGAGTATGGAACCCTGAACCCTAACGAAACCCGAAATGGCTTGGGCATTCGTCGTGAAGAGAGGCAAAGAGAGGCACACGCATGAATGAAGGTTGTGCGCTTACGGTTTAGGCTTCTCATGAAGTTCCTCAGTGTAGCCATCGTTTACGACGACCTGAACCCCTGACCCGTCTTCCCTTGCTCAAGCTGGGCTGATTCTTGGGTGTTGCCTCCCAAGCACTACCTCCTTAATGAGAAAGTGGTTACGGTTCGAAAACGTTAAACCTCTACAGTAGAAGCCCAAAAGTTGGAAACCCAATAGCCAATTAATGTAGAGGGAATCCCGGCACTATTTGGCCTTAATCCGGTTTCCAACTTTATGGTATTTATGGTGTTTACTGTAGTTTTCCCATAACCTGCGACAGCAAACTCACTCCCAAACTCAAGCCCAGGCTAAAAACCATAAGGTTTTGCTCTGGAAGCTCCTCCAAGATTCTGTGTAAGGCGTTCTAGGATCCAGGCGTCACAGAGTTTTGAAATAACAAAAAATCCAAGAACCCCCAGCCCAGTCCTAAACCCAAGACCCAAAAGCCTTAAAGTCATTCAAAGGAGTTGCTTGGACTGAGTTTGATAGGGCAGTTTCCGAAAATAGGGGACCCCAATATAGTAATTACCCTAAATAATAGGATCCTCATTATAAGGACCCAAAATAAGATCCCCCTAATTTTCGGAAACTCCCATAACTTTCCTAAGTTCGCCTTTCAGGGTGGCCCCAAGCAAAGCATGGCTCACCCGCAACCGTGTAGCTACCCATAGGCCCCATGATAGTTCCTGTTTTGGGATTACCTCCTAGCATTCTACATATATGAACCCCAAACAGGAACTACTTTGGGGCCTCTGGGTAGAGCAGGTATTTGGGGGCTCAGGGTTTCGGGCTTAGTGTACCTTCACCCGGAATGACCTACCTTTTTGAGGAGTTATATACGGAAATCATAATAAGGAACCCTAAAAAGGTAGGTTGTTCAGGGTTAAGGTAGGATTTAGGGGTTTAGGGTCTAGGGTTGAGGGCTTAGGGTGTGTAAGTGTTTTGTCAGTTAGGGCTGGTGCCGATGCCACTTGAAAAAAGCAGCAGCTGCTTGCGGAAACCGTAGGACCACAAGAGTACTTGAAGAGAATGAGTTTGAACACTTCGAAAGATTCCTTTGTATTGCCTACATGCTTTTCGTCATGAATTAAGCTCATAGTCGAAATGGTAGTTCCAGAAAATAGGGGACCTTTGATGTAGTACCCCGAATTAGTCCAAAAATTTTCGGAAACCCCAAACCCTAACCGGCCGAACCCGCGAAACCTTCAACACTAAGACTGCAAGCCTCTCACAACCCCTACGCCCGAAACTCCTCAAAAAACTCAACAACGAATCGGATCCTGACCCTATGCCTTCAGGGACCTTATTAGTGGATCCTAACTATGAGGTCCTTGGAAGGATAGGCTAAAGCCTCAAGATCAAAAACCTAAAACACACCCTACCAGGCTCCTAAAACGTATAAACATAACAACCCGATGCACCGCAAGTGTCCCTAGAAACCTTAAACCTCTAAAAGCTCAGGAGTATGTGCTTCTCTACATCAGCCGAGGGTCCGGTTTTCATCTCTGCAAGGAGTGCCACGGCTTTGAACCAGTTGCCCAGAGTTCCGTCCTCTTGAAAGCTCAGGGAATATTGTCATTAGCTTGCGGGGCCCTTAATAAAGAATAAGGTTTTGGGGCCCGTCATGCTATAAGTACAAGAAGGAACCCCTGAAATATTATAGGCAATTATTACTGTAAGACCCCTATAGTAGGTTATGGGGTTTGCAGGGGCTTTTCCGTCTAGAGTGTAAGGCCCGGGTTAAGGATTCAGGGCTGCGGGTTCAAGGCAGAGCTGTGCTAGTGCTGCTAGTGAGACATGAATGAGCCATAAGTAGGGCTGGCTATCAGTTGGTTTCACTGCAGTTGCTGTTGCTCGAGTGCGGTAAGCCCCATGTGCCCTGGAGTTTATCCCACAGAAAGGAATCGCAGTGCTTCACAAAATAGTGCCAGGGGCTAGGATCTGCAGAGAAGGATGCCTACTGTAATGAACCCCACAAAATAGTGCCAGGAGCTAATTAGGATCTACAGACAAGGATGCCTATTGTAATGAACCCCTAAAGGAGCAGGGCATGCTCTCCTCATCCCGGGCAAAAGCAGCCACGGCAGCGTTGTAGCTCACAACATCCTGAAATTGAGGGTTTAGGTTCAGGGTTCATGGTTGAAGGTTTAGGGTGAATAGGCCGCTAAAACACACATCAATCCTTAAACAGACAAAACCATACAATACCATACCCAAAATCCTAATCCTCGAAGCACATGCCTCCAACATGGGGGTCTTAAGAGTTGGAATCAAGTTTGGGGGTATACTTGAGAATAACGATAATAAGGAGCCCTAAGAAACAACATGACCAAGATTCCAAGAGAAATCCTGAACCTCAAACCCTCTACTTCGACTGTTCTTACATTACAGTAGAAGCCCAAAAGTTGGAAACCCCGTAGCCTCAATCCTTAAGAGCAATGTATAGGGAATCCCAGCACTATTTGGCCTTAACTAGGTTTCCAAGTTTTTGGGGTGTACTGTAGATAGGTCACGGCTCTGGTTGAACACCAGAAGCCTCCATCTGTGCCAAAGCCGAGAGCGTGATCTTCCATTGTCTGGCTCTGGCCAGGCTGCTGATGACCTTGGATGATAAATGGAGCAGGTGCCTCAGCAAGTAGGATCTGTCTGGGTTCCTAGCAATAAGGGCTCCGCCAACAGCTCAGGTTTTGAGTTGCAGGCTTTTGCGGATGTTGGGGCAGATAATGAAGGAGGAAGGTATCTAGCAAGTAGGTATGTAAGGTGGCTAAAGTTACCCAACCCTACTTACTAATACCCGCGATCTCCCACTTATGTATGCCTCCATGAGAACTTTAGCATATAGCTTAAGCAAGCTCCCATCCAACAAATGTAACTTTGGGGCCAGGGTATGTACCACCCGTGTAGATCGACCCCGAAGGATATGTTTTGCGGATGGTTTTGAAGCGTCGGGTTTGGAGTTTGGGGATTTCGGAAGCTGCTGTAGGATCAGGGGCTTAAGGTCTGGTTAGTCTAAGCTGAAGGGATTCTGGCCGAAAAAGGCGTTCTTAATGTGTTCTTGAGGCTTTTATCACGTCGTGGCCTGAGCCAGTGACGACTTGCGCTGTCTACCGGTCTACCTCATCATCTCCAAGGTAGGGTACATGTACGCAAACGCTTGAATTGCTGTAGCCTGGCACCTTTAGGTAAGCCCGGCACAGCTTAGGGTTTAGGAGTGATTAGTGGTTGGGAGAAACGTAGGGTTCCTTAGCAATCGAAAGCCCAAGCGACTGCATTGTAATGGATGGTGTCACCTTTCAGGGTGGCAAAGTTCATCTCCGTGAAAAGGGCCAGAGCTCTCTGCCATTGGCTACTCTTCTCCTTGGCTCAGGGTCCCTTTAAGAGCTCAATGTAGAGTTTCTTTCTAGGGTTTCTGTAGAGGCTTCTCTATGGGCTACTACCAGGATTTAGTAGAGTGGTGGAAGTGATGAGTACTACTATTTCTTTTGGGCCCCTTACAATATATCTTGAAAGAGCATTATGGCTCTTCTGGTTGCCTTTGCTCCGTGCACCCAAACTGGAGCCTGAAGCCCAAGGGTTGATACTCTTTAGGACTTGGGGCGCGGAGGGGGTTCAGTGTTTTGGCTTTGGGTTTTGGGTTTAGGGTTTAGGGTTTAGGGTTTAGGGTTTAGGGTTTAGGGTAAGTCAGTTAAGTTTAGTCGTTTACGACCTTACCTTGGACAAGCTAGGCAGAGCTCTAAACTGAATGAACACCAATGCAGCCTGAAGAACAAGAGGCCCTGAACCAATGCCCTCTCGGCCCATAAGCCAAGAAGCCCCCACACTAACTAGTCCCCCTAACGCCCCTACACCCTAAACCCTAAAAGGGCTTGGGGCCTGCGGGTAGAAGCTCCAGCGCGCTGCGACTATGATATAGTGGCCTTACTAAGTTAAACAGGGTTTTGGGGCCCAGTATACTATAAATGTAGCATTAAGGAACCCCGAAGTAGTATAGGTAATTATTGAGGCCCTTTTCGTTTATAAGGTTCAGGGTTGAGCGGAACCTCAAAGCAATCCGCCCACGACTGCCTTCGACGAAGGCTCGCAAGCAGAAGTGGCTGAACTGTAGCCTGTGAGAGTTTCCAAAAGTTCGGGGTGCCTTAGGGTTCCTTTAAAGGGTTACTATAAGGGTACAAGAATATCAGGGTTCCTTTAAAGGCCTTCCTAAGGGTTTAGAGTTTCCGAAAATTTGGGATACCCGATCCTGGGGTCCTTTTACTGAGGATCTTACTATTTCGTGTACTATTTTATGGTCCCCTATCTTCGGAAACTCCCACTTCACAGACCAAGCGCAGCAACGGATTCTTGGGAAGGTTTTGCCGACGTCCAGCCATGATTTTCAGGGGTCCTAACGACATCCTACATGGTAGCCCAGCTTTCCCTAAAAACTAAACCCCTGAACACCTCCGCTTGCTTCAAATCCCTAAGGCTCCATGTACCATAATAGTATACACTTAAGCCTTGAAGTACCTATATAGGGACTCCTTTAAGGCTTAAGTATCTACTATAATGGTATATGGAGCCTTAAAGAATATCCATGCGGAATTCTACTTGCGCCGCACCGGCAAAGCCCTGGGAGTCGAATGTAACTTAGCAGCCTGAACAGTTTGCCTATACTTGAGGAGCTGCCCCCACCCTGTAATAGTGACCATAAGGGTTATATTAGGGATTATTAGGGCCCTATTATATTCCTATTATACCACTATTACAGGGTTTTGTGGCCCCTTCTAACCTATACTGTTATTCAAAGGGGAAAAGGAGGGACCCTGAATTTAGGGCTCTTAGGGTTCCTTTAAAGGAATCTATAAGGGTTTAGGGTTTAGGGTTCAGGGGAAAAGGAGGGACCCTGAATAACTATAATGGGCTATAGAATGGGTATATAATAGCTATATTCAGGGTATATACCTAGGGGTTATACCCTATGCCTCCAGGGACCTTATTATGGGGTCCTTAAGGGGTCTAGGGCCCTAACTATGAGGTCCTTGGAGGGATAGGGATACTGTTATACTATTCTGGTGTTCCTTATGATCACTAATAGTATACCCCCCAAAAAACCTATTCTAAGTTGGGGACCCTGTATGATTGTAGACAGCCTGCTATGGATACGTTGTGAGTCCAGGCGTTTCTTCTTGTGGCCCCTCAAGTTAGTAAGTTCCACAACGAATCCCAGGGTAAAAGGAGGGACCCTTAATAAGGACCCCTAGGCAATATACCCTTAATATAGCTATTATATACCCATTATATAGCCCCATTACAGGGTAGGGGTCCCCATTAGGGGTCCCTCCTTTTCCCCTTTGAACGAAGAAGTCACCAAGAAAGGCAGACCCCAGCCCTGAATCCCGCGAGACCTGAACCCTAAAGCCTCACTCATGCGAAAGCGCGTGTGGAAGCCCTGAACTCGTAGCCCTAAACCCTAAACCCTAAACCCCTAAACCCTAAACCCTAAACCCTAAACCCCAAACCCTAAACCCTAAATCCCTAAATCCCTAAACCCTAAACCCCTTAGCCCCTTGAACCCTGCATCGATTTGTATATTCATTCTTCGGGCCTCTGAGTACCAGATCCCATCGCAGAAGAAATGCTCCTTCCCTTTACGATACCCCCCCTTAGAACCATACTAAAAATAGTATGTTGGATATGCTCTTGAGTTTTATATGAACAAAAATAGCAAATAATTCCTAAGGAGACTCTCGTTTAGGGTTTGGTTAGAGGCTTCCATTCAGTGGGGATGCTCAGTAGCTACCCTCAACCCTCAACCTGTCCATTCTACGGACACTGCACAGCCTACCCGGTAGCACTACACCCTAAACCCTAATTGCGCACTGCACACCTTTAAGCCCTCAACCCTTAACCTCAACCCCTCAGGGAAAGGGGCAGAGCACGTTGGGCTGCTGGGCATGGGAGCCCAATGCATCGAAGAGCTGCAGAGCTTTCTGAGCTTCTTTGCCTCGGGTTCTTACAAGATTCGGTTTCGGGCTTAGGGTTCTGGATGTGGGGTTTTAGGGTTTATAGGCTGCAGGGGTTTAGGATTAAGGGGTTTGGGGCGCAGGGGTCTAAGTGTTGAGGTTTGTGAACCGCAGATCTTGTACTGAAACTCTCAACTCTGGGGCCTGCCCTCCGAACACTTGAAGCCCTAACACTTAAGCACCAAACTCTAAAATCTCACTGAGGGGCTGAGTACCCTAGCCCGAAAAAGGTGAACCTGTTCAATTATGGTAGGATGGTATATAAAGCCCCAATCGGTCACCTAGCCAGCTACCAAGCTAAACATTTGGGTGGTTGTCAAAATTATGGTCCATTTTTGGGTCCTTATTATGATACGGCACCTAATATTTAGGGTACCCAAAAAGGGGCCATAATTTTGACAACCACCTCTTTAGGGCTTAGGGTTATCCTTGCTGGCCGGCAATACGAAGTAATCGACCAGGGATCCGAAACAAAGGGTAGAAAACAGCGACAAAACGACCCCATACCTCAACCCTGAATAACCTACCTTTTTAGGGTTCCTTATTATGACTTCCTTATATGAATCCTTAAAGAGGTAGGTCATTCCGGGTTCAGGTAAAACACTAAACCTTAGAAGCTGCCCCCACCCTGTAATAGTGACTATAAGGATTATATTAGGGGCCTATTGATTCCTATCATACCACTATTACAGGGTGGGGGCCCCTTCTAAACTACACCCAATGTGAGGCTTCTTCTTGCCCCGAAACTCCTGTTCTCATCGTTGCCTCAGGCCCTAACGCCCTAAAACCTAAAGCCCTGAGCCCTAAACACATAAGCCCCAAACGCCTAAACCCAAAACCACTTCTCATTCAACCTGGAAGCCCTGATGCACGAAACAGGTTTCCTTCGCCCTGGTGTTAAACAACACCTTCCGGATGTAGGTTGCAAGGGTCTACTGTGCAAGGGTTCATAAGGAATAAGGGTTCTGAGCTTGAGGGCTATAAAAGGTTCACAGGTTGAGACATAGACTACTTTTTAGTGCAACTGAGTCGTTGTATACGAGCGACTCAGAATGGTGCAGAACAAAGTCGAATCTGCCTCCCTAACCCATAATAAGACCTTGAAAACCAAAATGGGAGCTTGAGAAGAGAATCCCCAGTGCAAACCCTCTCGTTTGTAGGATCCTTATATGTAGGGCCCATGTGCCAATATTCCCTTATAAACCCTAAACCCTATGGCATATGGGTAGTTGTTCAAAATTATGATCCCTTTTTGGGTACCCTAAATATTAGGGGGTGCCGTATTATAATAAGGACCCAGAAAGGAACCCTGATTTTGACAACCACCCATATAAACGATGGCCTTCGAGGACCTGTCTAGGAACCTTGTGAAAGCCGGTTTAGGGTTTTGGGATGTGCCACATGGGAGTTTCCCAAAATAGGGGACCCTAATAATACTAATATAGTACCCCAATAGTAGGATCCTTATTATAAGGACCCAAAATAGGGTACCCCTCATTGTCGGAAACTGCCAGATGGGGACCCAGTGGGTGTTATTTTAAAGACCCGCTGGTGCCTCTTAGGAAAAATACTTGTTTATGGACTCCCTTCTGGAACCAGCCCACGAGAAAGTAAGGAGGACCCGTAAGATTGAACCTGGCGTTGGGGATTTAAGGTCTGTAAAGGATCCTAAATACATAAGTATATAAGATAGGTGAAACAAAGGAAGGAGCTACAGTTGAGACTACAGGTAGGGTCGAGGGCTTTCGGGTGTTGGGGTGTTGCACTCTTATCCGCCAAAGCGCCTCGGATGCACGCGGACATGGCCGTGTTGAAGGACACCAGACTTGGCTGGATAGAACCTGGGTTGAGGGTTTACCCTATCCCTCCAAGGACCTCATAGTTATAGCCCTAAACCTCTTAAGGACCCCATAATAAGGTCCCGAGAGGCATAGGGTTAGGTTTATGGGTTCATGGAGGAGCCGGGTGACTGATGATGTTGTTTAGAAGGGGGTGTTGAAAAATAAGGTATCGGCGGCTCACACAACAAGCAGAAGAAGAAAGTAAGCTGATAAGTTACCTGTACGCTCATAGCTACCCCCTTTTTAGGGCATCAACTCTTTTACACAAGGGATCCTAACTATTAAACCAGGTCTCCAAGAACAGGTGTAGGGTATGAGCCTCTGGGTACCCGGAGGCCCCATAGTAGTTCCTTTTCGGGGATTCCCTTATAGGGTTCTATATATGAACCTCAAAAAGGAGCTACTTTGGGGCCTCCAGGTAGGTAGATCCCTGCCTGAGTCGAAGATCGAAGGCTACGGGGATTTGAGGATTTTGACTCTAGGTCTCCAGAAATTTGAGTTCGATAGGGTTTAGGGACTGAGAAATTCTTAAGGATCTCTATAAGGGAGTTTCCGAAAATTCGGGGGTACCTTATTCTGGGGTCCTTTATAATAAGGATCCTACTATTTGGGGTGCTAGATTCGGGTCCGGAAACTCCGTATAGGGTTTAGGGTTGTGCTTAATTTTTCGTGTTTGGGATGTTGGCTCTATAAGCGCTTACGGATTTAGGCTTTGCAAGGATCTCTGTAAAGAAGTCGAAGCCTTGGAATCACGCTATTCTTAAAGCCATCCGTCCCAAAACTCAGAGCGAACAAAGAACAATAACCTGCGAGCCTAAGGATGTTATTCAAGCCTGCAAGCTAATAGTGGGGCCCAGCACATGAGAAGAGAATATGCTCCGAAAATGAATTCTTACGATGGAGGTTCGGAAAACCAAATGCTACACCATTTCAATATGCACCCAGACTTTGGCCCGTTCCAACACCCTCAGCCCCCAAACACCCGGTACCCCTGAACCCTTATGTGGCCAACCAAAACATGGGGTCTGCACGCAAAAGATCAGGCAGACATGCAAAATGCAGAGCTCCCTTCGAAAGGAACTGTTAAGCCCGATAATAAGAACCCAAACCCGTAACCCCTGTATCCCTGCAGCTCATCAATCAAAACCCAAACCTCTAACCCCCACACCTGAAAAGCCCCAAACAAACACCCGCCTCCAGCTAGGGAACCATGGTGCAGAAGTTGCAAGGCTGCCTGCCATTCATGGATGCTGAGCGAGTCTCTATAAAGGGTTCGAGCAGTTGAGACCACAGTTTTCAGTACGGAAAAGGCTCTCTCGCACCGCACTTTGCGGAAGACGCTGGTTCATGCATGCACTCCCTAAGGCTCCATGTACCATTAATTATGGTATATAATACTTAGGTTGGAAGTACCTATATAGGGATCCCTTTAAGGCTTAAGCATCTACTATAAAGGTACATGGAGCCTTTGGGACTGTACATTGTGGAAATGTGTGTACCTAAAGCAGCTGCGCGTTAATACAAGGACATACATACATACGTACATACATATCTACGTATATAATATTTGTAATTGAAGCAGGAAGCAAGCAAGCAAATAAGCAAGCCAGCAGCAAGCCAGCCAGCTAGGAAGCCAGCCAGCAAGCAAGCAAGCAAGTCAGCAAGCCAGTGAGTGAACACATACATACCTATCGATAAATCTATCTGCCTATCGTTATGCTGAATATATGTATATGCGCATGCATATGTCATTGGTATATGCATGCGGGTGATCATCTTTGCAAACACACAAAGACAAGTCGCATTGCATGTTATGCGACAAGAAACAGCTGTCACCATGCCGAAAACACACATGCATGTGCCTTGTATGTGTCTCACCGTGTTGTGCAGAGACTATGGCATAGACCTACCGAATAAGTGCATGCAAGCAAGTTGTAATTACACAGTGCCAAACCTGCAATCACGTCACGGTCTAGGGTTAGCCTTCGAATACAGTGAGGATATCGTCCACGAGCCCACCCGGCCTCCCATTGAATGGCCCGCGCACAAGCACCGATAGCCAGATTCACAACCACGATGTCCACACCTTCCGACGACTGGACAGCCTACTATCGTGATACCCCGATGGCTTGGTTTAGGGTTTAGGGCTCAGGGGTGAAAGGCTTTAGGGTGGTGCTTCAAGGATCGAGCACCTGCTGGGAGCTTCTTCTTACTAAGCTTGAAGTTGCTTCCCTGATCTTCTGACTTCTGAAGTGACGCGCTGGACGGCTGTAGACATGCTGCCGATGCAGCATTCCACACTTGCAGAAGGCTGGAACCGACTTTGAGCATGTGCTGGTAGCCACGTTTGATCAGGTGGGAGGCAGAGCTTGTTGGAACTCACTTTGAACTCTGAAGAACACAACACATGCCCACACACACACACACTCACTTACTTCCCACCCGAAAACACTGAAATCGTGCCGCTCATTAAGCGAACCCCATGAAACACTCAATAAAAGTCCTTCTGACGTCCCACAGGGCCTCCTAACCCCAAAACCATAAACCCAAGACCTCCTGAACCCTAAATCCCGAAGCCAAGGCCTCCTAAACCCTAAAGCCATACACCATGGCCTCCTAAACCCTAAACCTATGTGCCGGTAGAAATCTCCTAGACTCTGTCAACCTCGGAGCCTGAATCCCAGCCGCTGGAGTCTACGTGAACCTCAAACCCGGCCAAAACTCTACGGTTTAAGCTAACCCTATGCCTCCAGGGACCTTATTGTGGGGCTCTTAAGGGGTCTAGGGCCCTAACTATGAGGTCCTTGGAGGTTTAAGTTAAAGCTCCCTTTGTTGGTGGGCTCTTTTCCGACTGCATGCGGCTAGAATTCCTTACCGGTTTAAGCTTTTAGGGTGCTTTGTTTCAGAGGTTGAGATTCTTGGCTTCGGGCGTTTGGATCGGTCGTCCGGCCTGGTTCGCAAAGGAGGGAGAAGGCTCCCTGCCAGTCGGCGCCCTGTTCGTCGGGCTCTATGGGGCGTGGGATTGAGGGTTTAGAGGTTTAGAGGTTTAGGGGTTTAGGGTTTAGGGGTTTAGGGGTTTAGGGGTTTAGGGGTTTAGGGTTTAGGGGTTTGGGGGTTTTACAATAGGATCCTAGACATAAAGGACTCCCGGGTGCTTAGTAGGGAATGGGGGAACGGATCCCTATAGTAGTCCCTACCTAAACCCCCCAAAGTAGGTAAAATAATGGCCCAATACCCATAAAAGGCTATTATTCTACACACTTTTGGGGTCCAGGTATAGTAGTCCCCAAGAACAGTCCCCCATATCCATTCCCCCATTCCCTTCCAAGAACCAGACAGATGAGGTCATCCAATAAGAAGTACTGCATTGAAGGGTCCAGGTAGGGGTTAGGGAAGCCCTGAGCGGGTGGAGGGTAGTATAGGGGCCTTCATAATCAGAATAGGGTTTTGGTGCCCATGATACTATACTTATCTATACTGAACTGACTTTTAACCCTAGCAAAAATCATGATCTTAGCTGTTTCTTAGGGATCAAAATAACCAAAATCAAAAAATATTTCTAAGTACCCCTAAGTTATAGTAAGGAACCCTTCGGCCCCTAGGGTAGGGCTTTTGCACTGAGGTCTAGGTACCTGCTGCTTCGCTTCCGGCCGGCGGTTTACCAGGTAGCTACTACGGTTGATGATATATATATATATATATATATCCCGCATTACCCATAGTAAGGAATATACCATAATTCCCATAGTTTAGGGTCAATCAGGTCATGCAAGATTTATATCATACACCGTAGGACCGGAGATCCCAACTCCTACACCCTTCAAGCCTAAACCTTCAACGTCTGAAACACTGGACGATGATTTTTTCGACGATATCTTCTGTCAGCTCAAAAAGAACCTCCAAGGAGGGGTGCACCCGACCGGATCCCAGTGCATCCTACTTAGAGGTTCATGGGTAGTTAAAAGTAGGGTTATAAGTAGGGTAACTGTACTTATTACAAGATGTATTAGGGGACTTATAGCCCCACTTATAACTACCCATGAGCCTCCAAGTACTTCTTTGGGGTGGGTTTTTGTCGCATTTCCAGACCCCACAAACACATGCGCATACGGAGTTCGCCGCTTCCAGTGTTTAGGAAACGTCATCCTCAAATCCTACCTAGAGGCTCATACCTTAGAAGCTGCCCCAACCCTGTAATAGTGGTATAATAGGCCTATAATGGGGCCCTCATATAGTCCTTATATAGCCACTATTACAGGTGGGGGCAGCTTCTAACTCATACCCTACGCCTTTTCTTGGATGCCTAGCTTTATGGTTAGGATCTGTTGTATAGAAAAGTAGATACCCCAAAACAGGGCGAGGGTGTCAGCCTGCAGGTATACTCTCAACTGTCAGCTGTTCTAAACTCATAAACTCTAAGCCCCGAACCCTAACTGCCGAAGACTAAGCCCAGAGACCCCATAAAGCCTAACTATAAGCCCTAAAATTAAAGCCCTACCCTAAGGGTCCAAAGGACCCAATAATTAGGTACTCGGATTCAGGGTAGTAGTTATGTCGGTTAGGGTTTGGGAGAGTATATGATTATTGGGTACTTGTATTCTTGGGGCTACATCCTAAACCCAAAAATCTAAAGCCCTCCCTGGCACGTACCTTGCGGCAAGCAGTACAGCGCTGCGCCAGCTCGAAGCTTTGCGAAGCAATCGCCATGAAGGGTTTAAGGTTTCGGGGTTGTTCTTCAATTGATGGAGCCCTTTCTTGTTCAGCGTCTAGGGGTTTACATAGTTGCTGAGTTCATAAGCCCCCCCCCCAAAGTGTACACTTTTGGTTCTATAGTGGGTAATATTATCCCAAAAAGTGTAAAGTGTAACCACTCAGCTACTAAGTTTAAGGTTTAGGGGTTGTTTCTTCAACAGTGAATACTTGGGCTACAGTCTACATAGGGAGACCTAACCTGCCACACATGTGGTGTGGTGTCTTGTCTTGCATTTCCCTAGGGCTCCAATTACACAAACAAGGTGGGTTTCTGAGTTGTATGTTAGATTTTGGTAAAAAACTACTACTACTACTACTACTACTACTACTACTACTACTACTACTACTACTACTACTACTACTACTACTACTACTGCTGACTAAACCCTATACCCTAAACCCTAAAGCCCAAACGCCAAACCCTAAACTAATTTAAGTAACTCGAGCCCTGGAATCTCATTAACCAAAAGCCCGGGAGCAAAACTCAGCGTCGATACATGTATATATATATATATATATATATATATGTGTGTGTGTAATACATATATATATATATATATATATATATATGCGGCGACGGCTCTGGAGCTCCAGGCGACAAGGGCTTCAGGGATGCAGGGGTTTTGGGGCTAGGTTTTAGGGGTTTATATAGGGGTTTAGGAGTTTAGGGTTTTAGGGGCTTAGGGTTTAGGAGTTTAGGGTTTAGGGTTAGGGCTCAGGGTTTAGGGGAATAGGGGTTTAGGGGTTTAGGGGCTTTGGGCTTAGGGGCTTAGGGGTTTAGGGGCTTCGGATTTAGGGGTTTAGGGGCTTAGGGTTCAAGGCTTGGGGTTGAGGGGCTTAGGGTTTAGGATTCCGGGGAATTAAAAGTTGAGAGTCGGGGACTATGGACTTTGGTAGCAAGCAAGCTGCATATTGCATGTAACCATGTAAGCTGCTTGCCTTAAACTCTAAATCTGTAACCCATTGAACCTTAACCTTATGCCCCCAGGGACCTTATTATGGGGTCCTTAAGGGGTCTAGGGCCCTAACTATGAGGTCCTTGGAGGGATAGGGTACATTCATGGAGTGGCAAGTTCATAGATAAAAAGGCAGTCATAGGCTTACTACGCTTCTCAAGTAGGGCTTGGGGCTTCTGCCCAAGCTTCCGGTACCAATCAAACCTACATGCCTTGCACACCCCTGATAGAACCCTCAAATGGCCCTAGAACCCTAATATCCCCATACCCAGAGGATCCACATATAGACTACCACTATATGGCTTTAAAACTGCAAAAGGCCATCCTTATCCGTATGGTTTTGGGGATCTGAGTCCGCAATGTTAGTATACCCACAGGCCCCATAGTAGTTCCTTTTCGGGATTATACCTTATAGGATTCTAAATACGAACCCCCAAACCCTGGGCATCAAAAAAGCCCAAAAGCCTTAAACTTATACAGTATGGTCTTTGGGGCCCAAAAGCCTTAATATACGAGCCCTTAGATGCCTAGGGGAAAGGAACTACTATGGGGCCTATGGGTACAGGGAGCCTGTTGGTCATAACCCCCGTCACCTTAAGAGGCCCGAAGGACCCCACCATACTCGGGCATGCACCCTAATTAACCCTAAACCCTAAACTCCTATATACTTTAAAACCCTAAACCCACAGCCCTAAACCTTAAGCATTAAAACCCCTAACTCCCTAAACGCAAAGCCCTAAATCTTAAGCACTAAAACCCCTAACTCCTATACCCTAAACAAACCCTGACCCTGCTTCTCAAGGAATTTAAGCTCATGGAGTTACCCTGTAGGAAGAGCCCCCTTTGCATGGAAGGTGGAAAGCCACATCCCAGACTGCCGATGTCTAGGCTGCCGAGTCTAGGAATTAGGGCTTTCAGAGTTTTCAGGGCTTGGGCCTTTTAGGATTGTAGGGTAGGGGCTTGGAGGACTAGAGTACGCTCCTTAGTGGCCAATTTGATACTCGTTTGGGTTTGGGGCCTAGGCCTCTTGGCCTTCGGTTTGGGGTTTACAAAATATGGATTTTCAGGGTTTCGGAGGGCTTTGGGGGGCAGTCTGGGGTCAGGCGCTTGACCGGACTTCAATACTATGAGCAAGGGTGGCGCTTCATATTGCCATCGCATACATTGCCTCATCCTACCTCCTGCTGCATGGGGCTTCTGGGTATGAACCCTTAAACCCTGAGCCCTTAAACCCTAAAGCCTCTAAACCCTAAGCCCTAAATAAACCTTAAACCCTATAGCCTATAAACCCTAAACCCCAAACCCTAAACCGGTGATCGGTTTACCAGTTTCGGATCTAGGGCTCATGTTTTTGGTGTGGACCGTAATATGTACTAAACTGTGCTGATCTATCCGAAGCTATCCAATACTGTACTAGCCTTAAACCCGAAATCCTAAAATAATGCTAGTAGCTAGTATCTCAGAGCACCGCCCGCCTCCATCGGCCAGTGGTCCCAGCATCAGATCCGCAAAGAAGCTGAAGATGTACTCCTTTCCGCGGGCTTAGGGTTTAGGGTTCAGGGACTTGGAGGTGCAGGAGTCTCCGTAAGTAGGATGAGCGGCGCTTTAATGTACTTTGGAGTTGCAAAAGTAGATATGAAATGATAGAACAATGATACAAAAGTCTTTAACTTGATGATTGTAACCCTGCTTGCTAAGAGTCCTTCTAAGGCCTTGAGCGGTTTAAAGAGTTGAAGGGACTTTTCGAGAGCACGGGTTCAGGGCACAGGTTTTACGGTCTATGGCCATCGGCACTTTTCAAGGGTGTCTACGAGTGTCTATAGCCTTGAGCATCCCGCGACAAAAGCACAACAACGGCAGCCAGCAACAGCACCAGCATGAGCACAATCACCAGCACTGCCCTAGTAATGTAGGGGCCTTAATAATTATAATAGGGTTTAGGGGCCCATTATACTATAATTATAATACCACAAACAAGTATAGGTTATTATTGAGGCCCCTAAGTAGCACCACAGCACCTGCACCAGCAGCGGAACCACCACCACCATTGCTAAGACTGCTGGTACCATTCCTTCTCTACGAGTACTAAAGACTACTACCCCTGCGGCGACGATCACGACTCTTGCTCTTGCTCTAGTCCTCACTTGGTCCTTACACTGCTGCTCGCCCCGAAAATAGCAAATCAAACACGGACAGCTCTAAAAAAGTGCGGTGGAGGGTAATACACAAAACGAAATCATCGTCATGGCAGGATTTAGCGTACTTCGACTCCAGCACGAAGAACACAACCGTGAGTCTGATAATCCACCCATGCTAGGACCCAGAGTAAGCCCTTATTTTCTTGTTGGGGGTTCAGGTTCCCTGATAGCACCCTTTAGGCCAGAAAGAGCATCTTTTTTCTTCCTGGGTTACTCTTAGGTCTAGCAAGAGTTGAACTGCACGAAAGGCGCCAACCTTTGGATTAAGGGGACCCTTGAAAAATATGATCCTCTCAATAAGGCCCCCTTGAAGGATAGACAGAACTAGGGTTCAAAAGGTCCCCTAACAAAAATAATAAGAATAATAATGATACAAGGGCGGAAAAAAACAGAATAGGGTTTTGGGGCCCACAAAAAGAAAACTAGAACTATATTAATAAGGAATAATAGCTAATTATTTAGGCCTCTAAAACCCTAAACCCCAAATAGTATAGCTAATTACTTAGGCCCCCACCACTACGTAGGACACCTGGGGTCCGGCAAAAAAGGCGTTGGAATCCTTAAGCCCTGGGTGCATTGTTTCTACCATCGCTCGCGCAAGCTCGCACCGCCCGAAAACTTTCCCAAAGGGTCCATATGGGCTGTCAACATTAGGGTTCCTTTTTGGGGTCCCTATTGTTTTTGGGGACCCTAATTGTAATACGGCACCTAATCTTTAAGGTGCCCAAAACTAGGTCCCCACAATAGGGATGGTCTTGCAGTACCTTACTAGTGTATATGGACCCTCTGGGTTTGTAAAACGCCAGGGCTCATCCAAGGATAAGATCGACGATCGAGGATCGAACCATTCGGATCTTCTTCTTAGGGAAAAGGGCTTAGGGTCTTAGGGTTCAAGGCTTTAGGGTTTTAGGGTTTAGGGTTTAGAGTTTAGGGCTTAGGGGTTTAGGGTTCGGGAAGTCTGCATGCAGGAAACGAGGCCGCAACGTGCTGGAGCAACTACCTACCTATTCGGGCCGGACGAAACATCAGCTCAATCCCAAGCCTTAACCCACCAACTTTAAGCCCTACGCTTTGAACCCTAAGCCCGAGATTCTTATAAGCCTTAAAACCTAATTAAACTTAAAGGTCTACGCTTTAAACCCTGAACAGGGAACTATGCATTAAACCCTAAGACTTTGAGTACCTATTCCTTTAAAGCCTAGACCATGATACCATATAAGCCTTATGAACTTGATTTGTTTTGGAGGGGGGCTTCTTTTCCGTAAGCCTTATGAGCTTTCAGCGCTAAGCTCTTAAACCCTAAACCCCGACCGGAGTCCTAAACCCTAAACCCTAAACCCCGACGACGGAGTCCTAAAGCCGAAGCCTGAACCCTAAACCCTGAACCCTAAACCCTAAGCCCTAAACCCTAAGCCCTAAACCCTAAGCCCTAAACCCTAAACCCTAAACCTGAACCCTAAACCCTAAACCCTAAACCCTAAACCCTAAACTCTTAAACCCTAAACCCCGACGACGGAGTCCTAAAGCCGAAGCCTGAACCAGAATCTCAAGTCAGGTGGGGGCTTTGGGGTCGACGTGTTAGGGCTCAGGGTTTTAGGGGTTTAGGGTTTAGGGGTTTAGGGTTTATAGGGTTTAGGGTTTAGGGGTTTAGGGTTTAGGGTTTAGGGGTTTAGGGTTTAGGGTTTAGGGGTTAGGGGTTAGGGTTTAGGGGTTTAGGGGTTTAGGGTTTAGGGGTTTAGGGTTTAGGGGTTTAGGGTTTAGGGGTTTAGGGGTTTAGGGTTTAGGGGTTAGGGTTTAGGGGTTTAGGGGTTTAGGGTTTAGGGTTTAGGCTTTAGGGTTTAGGGTTTAGGGGTTTAGGGTTTAGGGGTTTAGGGTTTAGGGTTTAGGGGTTTAGGGTTTAGCTCCACGGTGTTGGTCCGAGTGCTTCATGCTCGAAGAGGGATTGTGTTTAGGGTTTATAGGGTTTAGTCCTATGGTGGATGATACAAATCCTGCATTACCTTCAGGACACTGAACTATGGGAATTGTGGTATATTCCTTATTATGGGTAATGCAGGAATTATATCATCCACCATAGGACTTCTGGCTCGAAGATCAAACCGAATACAGGGGGCCGGATAATTGGACTAGATCTCTTCGGAATATCTTGTAATAGTCGAACTATACCTAGAGGCTCATACCCTACACCTTTTTATGGGGGGATACCTAACATTATGGTGAGGTTTTGTTGTATGATGTTGGATGGAAAAGTAGATACCCGAAATGAGCCTGCCGGTATAGCAACTAGAATTTCAGACCCTTCGTGACTAACCCTTGGACAAGCTTTAACAGCACTGGCCCACGAACGTGTCTCTCTCAAAGGCGGGGGTTCCTTGCTCTTTCTTCCTAGCCCTAAACCCTGCTGAACCCAAAACTCTAAACGTTGAAGTAGAACCGAACATACGGGTGCTTCCGAAAATAGGGGCCCCTAAAAAATATAGTGCCCTGAATAATAGGATCCTTATTATAAGGACCCCAAAACAAAGTACCCCTAATTTTCGGAAACCCCCATATCGCCTCAGCTGCATTCGAACGCGCCCCACCTTCGACTGGCACGAACATGTCCGGCTGAGATGGCAGGCCAACGCCCCCAGAGTGACCGAAAACTGAAAAAATCGTGTCCTAGGTTCCTGAGTTTTTAGCCCGTTTATAAGAAGGGTACCCTTTTCCTAGTGTTCGGTTTGAACAAAGGTGCCTCAAAATAAGAAGGGTGCAAGGGTACTACTCAGGAACCTAGTGTCCGTCTTGATATAGGGGGCCTGCGTACATAAACTCGAGTCTTGACATATGGCATGCATGTGTACAGAGTACAAGCCTGCGCAAGGGTATTTAAGGGATCATGGGACTTAGTATCTAGGGTTATAATGATGGGAACTATACTTGTAACTACTTATAACCCCAATTAAGGCACTCAAAACCTTCTTACTAGGTCTCATGATCCTCCAAGTATTAAGGGTGTTTAAGGGTTTCAAGGTTCAAGATCCAGGCTTCGAGGGGAGCTTGAACCCTCAAACCCTACCTGTAGTCTCCATTGTAGTTCCTTTTTTGGGTTAACCAGTTTTATGGTTAGGGCCCTCTAATAGAGATTTTGGTTAACCAAAAAAAGAACTACAATGGAGACTATAGGTAAGCTTTCAACCCTGGGCAATCCTAGATTGCATTGGCACATATTGGAGTCTTACGTCCGCAACCCTACAACCCTTCTGGGGATCCCCAAACCCCTAAACCCTACGCGTCCTAGTCCTAGTACCAAATAAGCCCTGCGTGAACACTAAAACGGCATGGCCAGCCTGTCGCGAACCTGGTGAAGGCCCTGTATAGTTTGGTTCCCCAGCGACCCCTTGTGGCTTTTGAGGGTGTATAGTTCAGGGCTCTCCAAAATCCTCCGCAAATGGATGTTGCAGAGGAGTGATTTAGGTCCCAGGGTCTAGGACTTCGAAGTTTTAGCGTTTCAGGTGTGGGGTCCTTAGCGCTTTCTAGTATTTGGGTTAGGGTCTATGGGGTTTAGGGTCTGCGCGACTCGGATTCGAGTTCATAGGGATTTGGGTTTTGCGCGACTAGGCTTTGTACCGGGACCCCCTTTGCTGGCGGCGTCACCCACAGGCGGGATTTTCTGCACCATGTGCGGATGACCCAGGGCAGGAAGGTTGTACGGTTTGGCGTTCAAGCCTTAGGTTTACCCATAGGCCCCATAGTAGTTCCTGTTTAGGGTTCATCAATAGAATTTTATAAGGTAATCCCAAAAAGGAACTACTATGCGGCCTGTGGGCAGCGTCTAGGGCCTAGGGCTTCGGACTTGGAGGATCTAGGGTTGCTTGCCTTGAAAGGTTTTGGTACTTTTATAAGATCGTTTTCGGGCTGAAGGCTCTATACATGCCTTGGCGATGGGTCGCTAAATACAGCGGCTTTGAGCATAATATAGGGGCCTGAAAAACATCAGACGGAGATTTGCACCAGAATGTTTCTTTCACGAGTAGACCCCACGAAACCCGATAACTTAAATGCCATCTAAGCTAAATCACTGAAGTGGATATTCTTACAGGGCTTAATATGGCGGCCGCAATGATTCAAAGAGGGCTTTGGTTTAGATTGTGGTGTTCTTGTCATCAGGAGCCCTAGGGAAACGTATGGGAGTTTCCGCAAATAGGGGTACCCTACATAGCAGGATCCTTCTTATAAGGACCCCAAAATATGGTACCCCAATTTTCGGAAACTCCCGTATTGATCCCTGTATTCGGGGATTTTAGGGCTTTATGTGGGATCTGGGGTTTTAGGATAGGGTTTGAAAGTGGCTTTCAAGGTCATTCGGGTTTAGGGCTTTGAGGCTCCAATGTGTTGTGCATCATTGCTCTTTGCAGAAATCCCCGGGCGAGAATTGAGAAGTTAAGAATATTGCTTCAACTTTCTTGAAGCCGCTGGTGCGGCATGGAAGCTTGCACATAGTGTTCATCCTCCGAGCAAGTAGACCAAGTAGACACTCACGTCCGTCCTTCACAAGACCCGTACTGGTCCTATTGTTCGCGACGTCTGTCACAACTGCTCAAGCGGATC